TGTCTCTGTTTAATGTTAATCTTTTCTTCCTGTTCTTCCTCCCTGCTCTGTTCATAGTTGCTCTCATTATATCAAAGAAGACATTTGGTATTTGTTTTTTAGGGATTGCTTAGCCCTATTTTGTATTCTATTTAGAGACAGGGTCTCACTGAGTTGCTTAGCACCTCACTTTTGCAGAGGCTGGCTTTGAACTCACGATTCTCCTGCCTCAGACCCCCCAGACACTGGGATTACCGGTGTGCATCACCACACCTGGCACCATGTCTAGTCTTTTGAGGAACCTCCATACTGATTTCCACAGTGGTTGTACCAATTTAGAGTTTCACCAACAGTGTAAAAGCATTCCTTTTTCTTCACATCATCTTAAGCAACAAATTGCTTTATTTTTAAAGTATCTGCCTACTGGCATCTCTCCTGTTGTTCATCTCAATTTGCAACATGTGGACATCACCAAAGAAAGTCTTTATTGGCTGCTTTTTCCCTTTCCCCAGAGACTCACAACTGCTCTGTGTGTTTGTGGATTGCTTTGCATGTCTCATAATTGTTAAAGACTTGACATTGGTAGCGAATGTCAAGTTTTAGCAAATCTGCATTTCTGGATTATGATCCCTCCTTTACTATTAATGTTGCTCTTGTCTTCCTTCCTTCCTTCCTTTCCTCCTCCTCCTCTTTGTGTGTGTTTGTTTAGGGACTTGTGGGAACTAATTTGGTAGGATTTATCTTCAGTGTGCAGCTAACTGATGTCTCTTGACCATTTTATTTTATTTTGGTACTGGGATTTTGAATCCAGGTGTGCCTTCTACTGAGCTACATCCCCAGCCACTTAAACAATATTTTTTTTGGTGGGGGGCACAGGGTCTTGCCAAGTTACTGAGGCTGGCCTTCAACTTGTGATACTCTTGCCTCAGCCTCCTTAGTTCTGGTTCTTTTTGAGTTAGGGATTGAATCCAGGAGTACTCAACCACTGAACTAGATCCCCAGCCCTTTTTTATATTTTATTTATAGACAGGGTCTTTCTGCATTGCTTATGGCCTCACTAAGTTGCTGATGCTGGCTTTGAACTCATGATCCTCCTGCCTCAGCTTCCTGGGCTGCTGGAATTACCACTGTGCCACTGAGCCTGACTCTTTGCTCAGAATTCTTTTAATTTTTATCCCTAGCTTCCTTGCACTCACTGGTGGGTCAGCATAGTTTAGTGTCAATCAGTGATTCAGAAGCTGTGGTTATACATGTTGAATCAGTTTGGCTTCCATTAAGGAAGTAAATGTATGAGTTTGGGAACATAAGTTCAGGCTGTTTATAAGTCTGTGCTGACACACATTTCTGCTTGTGTAGTCTCATATTCATCCAGGAATGAGTCAACATCAGGCCCCTTCTATATTTTGTGGTCATGCCCACAGCCTTCCACATTCCCAGAGTCAGGAAAGCTTATCAATACTCACCTTTGCTGTCTCATTTTCCATATCTCCCTGTTAAGTTTTGTCTGGTGTGCTTACCCAAACAGTGTTGCAGTTCCAGGAAGCTCTGATTGTGGCCTTCCCCAAATAATTGCTACCAATTTTGTTATTGTCTTTGACAATATCCCTAAACATAGAGCTTTTCTATGGTGCTCCAAGTCAGGCCAACCCTCTCCAGTTTCAGTGAAGTTTCCATTTCTCATAGCTACTATTATGGTTTTGATCTTAAATATTCCTGAAAGGGCTGAGTCAATAGATCTGGTTGCCAACCTGTGGTACCACTGGAAGGTGATGGAACCTGTAGGAGGTGGGGCCTGGTAGGAGGTTAAGTCATTGTGGTTGCAGTCTGGAAAGGGATATTAGGACCCTGGTCCTTTCATACCCCTCTGTTGCTTCCCAGCTGCCATGATGTGAATGGGCCTGCTCAGCCATGAACTTGCCATGATGTACTATGCTGCCACAGGCCCAAGCAATAGTCAAATGACCATAAACTGGAACCTCTGAAACCAAGCCAAAATAAACCTTTCCTCTTTTAAGATTTTTTTAAAATCTGAGATAGTTTGTCACATTGATAGAAAGATGACTTAACATAGGTACCATACACACAGAGATGAGGATGGTAGCATTTCCAAGTTTAAATGCCACTGGTCTTACTAATATTTGGTTTTCCAATCAATAAGCAGTTTCCAATTTGATATGCCTCTGGTGAATTTCCAGTGTTCTAAAATGCTTTTACAGTTAAAAATTGCTTTTACAGTTCTGTAGCTGCTTTGGGGGGAGGAGATTTGATGAGTTTGTTATGGTTTGGATGAGATTTGATGAGTTTGTTATGGTTTAGATAATTAATACCTTCTGTATTAATTCAGGAGTGTTCAGAAATTAAATGATTAGATTACAAGTGCTGTGACCTAATCAGTCCATCCTAGATTGAATGGACTAACTGGGTGGTAAATGTAGGCAGGTGGGACATGGCTGAAGGAGGTGGTCACTGGAGGCATTCTCTGGAAGGATTTATCTTCCATGCAGCCTCTTCCCCTCTCTCTGCTTCCTGGCCACCACGAGTGGAACAGCTTTCCTCTGCCATACCTTTCTGCCATGATGTTCTGTCTCCGTTCAGGCCCAAAGCAATGAAATCAGCAGACTATGGACTGCACCTCTGGAACCATGAGACAAAATAAACTTTTCTTCTTCTAAGTGGTCTTGCCAGGTATTTTAGTCACAGCAATGAAAAGCTAACACAAACTCCTTACTTCACCATTCCAGAACTTCTGTGAACAAGTGATTTTTTTGAAAAAGTGAAATATGGAGAAAGAATACTGAATTAAACAAATTCTGTGGAAACATTTGGTTTTATAGTCACATGCAAAATAAAACATAAAAGAATTTGGATTCATATGTCATACTATATTAAACATTAACTAAAAATGGATCATAGACCTAGGTATGAAACCTAAAACTGTAAAACTTCTAGAAGAAAACACAGGAAAAAAGTCATTGTGATCTTTGTTTAGGCAAAGATTTCTTAGGTACAACACCAAAAGTGCAACTCATAAAAGAACAAATTGAAATGTAGGACTTCAACAAAATAAGAAGTTCTGACCTTTTGGACTGTGGCTGGAGCTCAGTGGTGAGTGCTTGCCTAGCATGTGTGGAGCACTGGGTTTGATCCTCAGCACCACATAAGAATAAGCAAATGAAACAAAGGCATTCTGTCCAAAAAAAGTTCTGATCTTCAAAATACACCACCATTAAGAGAATGAAAAGGCAGTACAGTGACTGAAAGAAAATTTTTGAAAGAATAATGGACTGATGATGGACTTATATGCACAATATGTAAATGCTCCAAAAGAAGGAAAAAACTTCACCAAATTAATAATAGGTGAAAGTTCTGAACAGACAATTATATGTGTTCAAAAAAGATATCTAACATTATTAATCATTAGAGCAACATAAAATTAATGTCACAATATCACTTTGTATGTACTGTAATAAAAGACTGATATGGCCTAAGAGTATCTCAGTGGTTAGATCACTCGCTGAGAATGCACAAAGCCCTTGGATTGATTTTTTGATTTTGTGGTTACTACAAAAAAAAAACTAATAAAAATAAGAATTAATGATGTGTGGAGAAACTGGAACCCTCATGCATTAATACAGGAAATGTAAAAGGGTGTAGTCAAATGAGGAATATACCTGGGTTTCAGGTCTCAGACATAGCTGGTCTGCATATACTGGGAAGGTACGATCATGATTTGGAGAATAATGAAATGAAAACTCAAATCATACTAAGATATCGCTATATGCCAACTGTAATGGCCACAGTAAAAAAAAAAAAAAGAGAAAATGAAAATGAAAAAAGAAAAAGAAAATATTAAGGGTTGGCATGAACGTGGAGCACCTAAAACTCACATACTATATTGGGGGTTGTTGGAAACTGGTTTTATAATGTTGAGTATACGAATACATACCTGGCAGTTCAACTTCTAAGTATATACCTAAAGGAAGTGCATACATATGTTCACCAATAGATAGCAGTTGTATTCCTAAGAGCCCCAAGCTGAAAATAACCCAAATGTCTACCAACAGTAGAATGGATAAATATATTGAAGCATATTCACACAATAGAACACAACATGACAATGAGTTATTTACAAGTATATGCAACAATATGGATAAATCTCACATTCATAATGTTAATGATAAAAGAAAGACACTAAAGAGTCTATAACTCATATGAAATATCAATTTATATAAAATACAAAGCAGGTGAAATGAATCCATGCTGTTAAAGTCAGGATAGTGTTTGTATGTGTGGAGGTCCTGGGAGGAAGTACACAAGAGAGCTTCTAGAGTGCTGGTCATGTTGTTTCTTGATCTGAGTATATTCCATTTGTCAGAATTCATTAAGCTGTACACTTACATATAAGTGCATTTTCTGTATGCATTATGCTTTAATAAAAATATTTTAAAAATAAATAATATGCTAGGAAGAAAGCCTTTTTTCTTATGAGTATTGTGAAAAATGTTTAAGAGAAAGTGGGAAAGTATCTATATATCAGTGCTTTTAAAAAAGCAGCATTTGCTCGGCACAGTGGCACACACCTGTAATCCCAGCAGCTTGGGAGGCTGAGGCAGGAGAATTGCGAATTCAAAGCCAGCCTCAGCAATATAGCACGGCCCTGTCTCAGAATACATTTTTTTTTAAAAGGCTGGGGATGTGGCTCAGTGGTTAAGCACCTGAGTTCAGTCTTCAATCCCCAGTTTAAAAAGAAAAAGAAAAAGCGGTGTTCTTTCTAGAGAAATCTCCCAGTTATTCAACAATAAAAAACTATATCTTGGAACAACCAATTGCAATGCAATATGACTTTATCACACAGTAATTTACACAAAACCACCCTTAATGTGCATGTAGGAAATGAATATATATTAACCAAATTGGAAGGAAAATACAATTTTGTGTATTGAAATCCAGTTTCTCAACAATTCTTTTTCAAAAAGGAATTCTAAGGCAGGCAGGGACATCCATGGATGAGGCTGAAAATCCATAGTGCTGTGGCTCAGTCTCATTGTCTTGGGGTCAATTGGGTAATAAGAGGATAAGGAGTCTTTGTTCTGTAGCTTATATAGATGATAGCTTTGGGGGAACGGGTTAGAAAGCATGTAGGGTATGATTCACCTGTGGCCAGAGGAGAGAATTAATAAGGGAACAATTGCCATCTTTAGATGTCTATAACCTTTAATGACTATATTCTTGTAACACAGGATAAAGCTGTGCCTAATTTTCCAATTCTTTGGGGTGGGTACTGGGGATTGAACTCAGGGGCACTCCATCACTGAGCCCCATCCCCAGCCTTATTTTGTATTTTATTTAGAGACAGGGTCTCACTGAGTTGCTTAGCACCTCGCTTTTGCTGAGGCTGGCTTTGAACTCGCAATCCTCCTGTCTCAGCCTCCCAAGCTGCTGGGATTATAGGTGTGCACCAGCACACTCAGCTAATTTTCCAGTTCTTAAGGTCAAAATTTAAGTTTAAAAATTCTCTTTCATTTAGAAAGAGTAGTTCTTCATGGGAATCTTTTCTGTGCCTCAATTATCAAGGATTACAAACTCTTCTGGTTCTACTGACAGATCTGCATTTTCAATAAATTTTTAGCCTTAACTTCAGGGCCCTTCAACTGGACAATGGAAAACTTCTCCTCACGCTAGAAATGTGAAACAATTTGGGCCAATACTGAGTACTTTTATGTCCCAGGATACAAAGAACTAATGAGTGCTGAAATGTATAAGTCCTTCATCCCAAAAATGGAACATAAGAGATGATGAGTCATCTCGTGTCTTTATTTCTACCATTTTCAGGAGTTGACAGCCTCAGTATCAATCATGTAACCAAACATAACTGTTGCTCAGATATTCCATCTAAATGGTCTTCCTGTGCATTTAAGAGTCTGTCAGTTGTGGTGATGCTGGAACTTTTATTTCTAGTTGAGTGAAGGCTATTTGGCTTTGCCTGGCTTCTGCTCCCTCAGGTCACTGCCTCTCATTTCTACTTCCCCCTGCACAGTGATTGCAGCATCAGGCATTCCTCTTTACCACTAGGACCTATCTGATGGATGTGCTGTGATTTCCAGTTCTGAAACAGCCTTCAGTCACTGGCTTTGTAGTGTTTTTCTCCACTGTGTGTTTTCTGGTGTTTAATAAGATTCGATCTGTCAGTGAAAGCTCTCTGACATTCTGTACAAGCATAAGGTTTCTTTCCTGTATGAATTATCTGATGCATGCTGAGTGTTGCTTTTTGGATAAATGCTTTCCCACATTTACTGCATTCATAGTGTCTCTCTCCAGTATGGGATTTCTGATGTATATTGAGGCGTGACTTCCAGGTAAAGGTTTTTCCACAGTCACTGCATTTATAGGGTTTCTCCCTTGTATGGATTTTCTGGTGTGTTATGAGATTTGACCGATCCGTGAAGGCCTTTCCACATTCAGCACATATATTGGGTTTCTCGCCTGTGTGAATTTTCTGATGTACCCGGAGCTGTGACTTCTTAGTGAAGCATTTTCCACAGTCACCACATTCATAAGGCTTTTCTCCAGTATGAATTCTATGGTGTGCAATGAAATGTGATTTCTGGATGAAAGCCTTTCCACATTCAGGACAAACATAGGGTTTCTCCCCTGTGTGAATTCTCTGATGCACTCTTAGTGTTGATTTCTGGATAAAGGCTTTCCCACATTCCTTGCACACATAGTGTCTCTCTCCAATATGAGATTTCTGATGGATTTTGAGGCGTGACTTCCATATGAAAGCTTTCCCACAGCCATTGCATTTATAGGGTTTCTCTCCAGTATGAGTTTTTTGGTGTTTGATGAGATTAGACTGATCAGTAAAAGCCTTCCCACATTCAGCACACATATAGGGCTTCTCCCCAGTGTGAGTCTTCTGATGTGTGGTGAGATTTGTCCTATGAGTGAAGACCTTTCCACACTCTGTACATATGTAGGGTTTCTCTCCTGTGTGAATTCGCTGATGCACATGGAGCTGCGACTTCTTAGTGAATGATTTCCCACAGTCTCTGCATTCATAAGGTTTCTCTCCAGTGTGAATTCTCTGATGTGTATTGAAGTGTGATTTCTGGATGAAGGCCTTCCCACATTCAGTACACACATAAGGTTTCTCTCCTGTGTGAATTCTCTGATGCATCCTGAGGGCAGATTTTCTTGTGAAGGCTTTTCCACATTCGCTGCATTCATAGTGTTTCTCTCCGGTATGAGTTTTCTGATGTATACTGAGGTCTGAATTCTGGGAGAAGCCTTTTCCACACTCACTACATTCATAAGGTTTTTCTCCTGTATGAATTCGCAGATGTCTAAAGAGATCTGATTTCTGGAAAAAGGCTTTCCCACATTCACTGCATTTATAGGGCTTCTGCCCAGTATGAATTTTCTGGTGTGTAATGAGGTTTGACTTGAAGGTAAAGGCCTTCCCACATTGAGTACATACATAGGGTTTCTCTCCTATCTGAATACTCTGATGTCTATCAATTTTTGGCTTCTGAGTGAAGACTTTCTCACTTTTGTTGCATCCATGGAATTTTTCTCCAGCATGAATTTTCTGATGTCCAAAGAGATCCAACTTCTGACTGAAGCCCTTTACACATTTACTACATCCGTGAAGTTTCTCCCCAGTAGGAATTTTCTGATGATCAATGAGAGTTTGTTTGTGATTGACGTGTTCTTCACACTGATTATGTCCATGGGAATTCGCTCTTGTGTTAGTATTCTCATTCTTAGTAGAGAAAGAACTGTCAGCGAAATTGTTACCATTTCCAAATATCCTCTCAAGATTCTTTGTTGCAGTGCTTTGGTTATAATTATGTAAGTTTAAAGTATGCTTCAAACTCTTTCCAAATGTGTCATATTTATGGAGTCTTTTAATTGAAGGAACAAGCTTGGTAGTCATGTGAATTATTCTTTCAAGGTTTTGACATTCGTAGCCCCTCTCCTTAATTAATATTTTGACAAGACTTAAAGGGTTCATCTGGTTTTCCTGATATCTCTCTAGTTGATCATTCTCTTGCCACAGTTCTTCCAAAATGGAACACAGTGAATCTTCTCCTGTGGGTTGATCAAATCTCTCACAGTGGAATGAAACTTCTCCAGAAATTTCCTGTTGTTGAGTTTTCCTAATATCTTCACCTAAAAAGAAAAGTAAAAATGAAAATGACAGGGCTGGGGTTGTGGCTCAGTGGTAGAGTGCTTGCGTAGCACATATGAGGCACTGGGTTTGATCCTCAGCACAACATAAAAACAAATAAATAAAATGATGGTATTGTGTCCATCTACAACTAAAAATATTTTTTAAATGAGAATGACACAAAGAACAATTAGCAAAGGATGGGAGAGGGTCCAAGTAGTTCAGAAAGGATGAACACACAGAAATGGAAGTGTCTATATGACAAATATAATAACAGCAATGTAATAATAAAAAATTCTTACAGGACACTTAAAAGATGCAAATGATTCTATATCATTTATGACACACCAGGCTGTTCTAAGTGCTTTCCACACAGCAACTCACGGACTCTTCAATGAAGCCTATGAGGTGGTTGCCATTATGAATGGTGTTTTATAGAAAAGAAAATGGAGGCACACCGAAGTTATGTAAGTTGCTGAAGATCAAATCACTAAGTGGGAGAGATGGGATTTGAACCTTCAGAATTTGGCTCTGCTAGGATATCTGGATAGTGAACAGAGTAAACAGAAGAAACTGAAGTCTGTTAAGAAGAAGCCTGGGGGTTGGGGTTGTAGCTCAGTGGTAGCTTGGCTAGCATGTGTGGGTCACTGGGTTAGATTCTTAGCACCACATAAAATAAATGAATAAATAAAATAAAGGTATTGTTTTCATTTACAACTAAAAATATATTTTAAAAAAGAGGAAGCTGGGCTTGGAAGAAGTATTCCAAAATGCATTTTCTTATTACATATCAGCTCAAAACCTTTGTGAGATCTCTGCTCCCTCTTGCTTCTCCTGCTGAGCTATTAGCAACAATATTACATTTCTATGTGACAAACACCACCACCTTTATATCAGTAGGAAAACTGTAACCTTGCCATTCTGACACAATGGTAAATACATGTCTATGCTCCAGCTCTAAAACCAGCTGCAAGTTTTTCTTGGATTCAGGAACACAGGCTTCTAATAAGAAGTATAAAATAGAAGAGGGAAAACTATATGAGGCAGAAACTGCAAGCGTTCCACCAAGATCTCTTCTTTCTTTAGTAGTAACAGAATGTAGATTTACCAGCCTCACTTTCTTCTTACCAATGGGATTTGAGCTGAAGCAATATATATTGCTTAGGAAGGCCTAGACAGTGGGCAAATCTCCTCTTTCCTCTTTCCCCTTCCTACTGGATTCCACAGTAATCAATGCAGCTGACAATGCCTAGGAAATGGCAGAGCAGTGACTTCGAACATAGTCCCTGAATGATGGATCAGGATCAGCATGATATTAAGCTTTGTCCATGGAAATTGCTGGAGAGGCACTGCAAGCCAAAGTGGGTTTGCTTCCTGGTTCGAGGAGTTCACTCAGCAGAACTTGTTGAACTGAACCAATTCATCTCAGAATTCTAAGATAATTTTGTTTAGCTTGTAGTTTTGTTCTTCCATGCATTTTCAAATATTATTCAAAATAATAGCTCCAATTTCACTACTCTAGGGATGTTATATTTGCTATTAATTTTTTTGGAGGTACTAGGGATTGAACCTAAGGGTATTCTACCATCAAGTTATATTCCAACCCCCCCCCCTTTTTTTGAGAAAGGGTGCTAAGTTGCTGAGGTTGACCTTGAACTTGTGATCCTCCAGTCTCAACTCCCAAGTTACTGGGATTACAGATGTATGCCATCACACCCAGCTGCCAGCATTTAATAAAGCAGACACTGTGCCACTCATGTTTTCTTGGTGTGTGTTTGTGGTACTGAGGATTATGTCTTTGAGCTACATCCCCATCCATTTTCGTTTTAATTTTATTTTGAGATAAGATCTCACTAAATTGCCAAGACTGTTCTCAAACTTGTGATCCTCTTGCGTTGCTGGCATTACAGATGTGTGCCAGTGCACCTGGCAGTACCACTCATACTGATACTTGATTTGTCACTGTTTAATGTTGTAAGCAAAAGAACTATTACAAAAAGGCTGAGTGTATTAATGTTCATGCAGTTGTCTTCCCTTTTAAAATATAGTGTACAGTCCTCTGTATTTTTCTGAAGAGATGCTTAAAAATGCTTCTCAAAAAGCATTTCTGTTTCTATCTCCAAAATTCAATAAATTTAAGTTTACTACATATATTCTACATATTTTACTTCAGGAAAATGAAGATTAAGGGTGCCAGTTATGAATCAATTGCCTCTCAGCTCCAGGTTCACCCTTCACAAAAATGGATTTGGGTTTCCTTAAGTACTTTTTTTTCCCTTTCCAGCAACCATGATATTAAACTTTGTCCATGGAAGTTGCTGGAGAGGCACTGCAAGCCAAGGTGGGTTTCCTTCCTGGTTCCAGGAGTTCACTCAGCAGGCTCCTCCAGCCAGGGCAGCTTGTCTAGCATTCCTGCAGCATGGGTGGCTTTATCATCTGGCCCCTGATGCACACACAGCATCCCTGGAACCCAGGTCTTGCAGTATGGATGGCTTCTCTGAGCTTAGTGCCTACAGCATGGATGACTTTTCAGAACCCAGTTCTAGCAGCTCAAATGGCTTCCCAAGCAACCAGCTCACAGAGCACCAATAGCTTCTCCAGCTCCAAGCTCATGCAGTGCATTTTGGTCAGTAGCATCCAGCACCTAATACCTTACTCTGCACCTCTCTCAGATGATTTGTAGTAGACTCCCTCCAGTGACACACCTCCCTATGAAGAGTTTTCTCTGGAACCTCAGAGTGAAGATTTCCAGCAAGTTCTGGCAGTGTGGTACTACAGCAATTCTTTCACCAGGCCATAAGCCACAGCTATACCCTCCTTACAAGGTCTGGATCTCATCCCTGGGAAGTAGAGGAGCCTCTTCCCTGGGTACTTTACCTCAGACTGCTATGGGTTTGGATACTGTTTATGTGGAAGGTGACTGGGTCTCTGGGAGCACTGACCTTGGAAGGGATTAATATAGTTTTTATGTGATCCAACTTAGTTCTCAAGAGAAGATTGGTATAAACAAGTGAGACTGGCCCCTGTCTGATCTTTCTCTGGCTTCCTGTCTTTTCATGTGCTTTCTCTCTCTCACACATGCTCACATCCTGATGCTATCTGCCATGTGGTGATCCAGTGAAGGGGGCCCTGACCAGAGGTCAAATCCATCGGATGGCCTGATCTTGGACTTTGTCTCCAAAACTGTGAACTAAATAACATCTTTTCTTTCTAAATTATCCCACCTCAATATTTTGTTACAGGGCTGGGGATATAGCTCAGTTGGAAGAGTGCTTGCCTCGCATACACAAATCCCTGGGTTCAATCCCCAGTACCAGACACGCAAAAAAAAAAAAAATTATTACAGTAACAGGAAATAGATTAACACACAGCCCTGGAGGAATTGGCTTTGCCTTGTATCTGCTATTCCTTTATTTTTAGGATTCTCTTTACTAGTTAATATCTTATTTTTTCAATTGCATTACAGCTAAAAAGCTTCATGTTAAACTTTCTCTGTTCAAATTAGTGTGTGGTTTTTCTCTCTTGATCAGACCCTGCATCATACAATATGAACTAGGCTTCTAATGTACAGATTTTAAAACATCATGCATATGATATAAACAATTTTTATTTGTCAATTTAAAGTTTAATACTTAAAAAACAACAATCATCCAGGCATGGTAGCACTGGGAATGCTGAGGCAGGAGGATTGCAAGTTCAATACTAGCTTTGATAGTGGAACCTTGTTTCAAAATCAAAAATAAAAAGAGATGGGAAGGTTTCTCAGTGATAAAGCATTTCTGGGTTCCATCCCTGGTACAAAAATAAAACAAATAAGGCAAAGCTGGCTCCTAAATCTGGATACTTTCTAAAACATAGAATTAAAAGCCACATAGTCTAAAATTCTATACTTTCCTCTGAGTTGCTGTGAAATAGAAGATGGAAAAATGGAGTGAGACATACATGTGCTAGAGTAATTAAGAGCTACTGCCTGGCTGGGGTATGGCTTAGTGGGAGAATGTGCTTAGCATACATGAAATCTTGGGTTCATTTCCCAGCACCACAAAAAATTCATTACATGGGACAGGTGAACTCTGATCACAAGATGGAAAATGTGTTATCGGGATGAAGACTGAGATGTTCATGGAAGACTAACAAATATTGTTGGGAGCCACTCTGGATAGGAGCTATGTACACACCTTTAAGTCCTGAGTAAAGAGATATTGAACTGGTATTGCACCACTGCAATGCAATTGAACCTTTCCTCCACTCAGATAAGAGAAGTGCATCTCCAGGAGTGGGTGTCACCCAATGGGGTTGGATTGCACTCACTTGTTTGTTGTAACCCTACCCTTGCCTCAATTTAAATGGCTTCTTCCCAATAAAACCCGGGTTGGAGGCATGCTCCTTCTCTTTCTTGCCTGCCTTGCCCGCTTTGTGGGAGCTGTGGCTGAGTAGTCGTCACTGAGCCCAATGAAAACAATACTTTCTGTGTCTGTGTCTTTATTTAGTTAGCCCAAATTCACTTGGAGTGTCCCTGATTGATTTAGTTGCGTATCCCCACAAAATATGATAAACATTAAGAAAATATTAAAAGTGGATTTAAGCAGAGGTTATAAAAATATACAGATACAATTCTGAATTGGAAATATGTTGTTTATCTCTTTGGAAGAAGAGTTTCATTGTCACATACTAGACAAGAGGGAGAAACTGTAGCTTTGTCTTAGCTCATGACAAGATAAACAGAGTGTTTTAGGTAATGAAATCTGTCATTAGCATTTAAAATGAACTTATAAGAGAATGAAATCAAACTGGTCACAGTGGCACATGCCAAACTCCAGTGATTCAGGAGGCTGAGGCAGAAGGATTATAAGTTTGAGGCCAGCCTCAGCAATTTAGTGAGATCCTGTTTCAATACAAAGAGTAAAAAGGTCTAGGGATGTAGCTCACCAGAAAAATGCCCCTAGGTTCCATCCATAATATTAATATTACTACTACCAGGACGACGACTATTACTACTACTACTAGTACTACTACTACTACTAATACTAAAATAAAAAATAAAGCACCAGACTGAGGATATCAAAGGAGGAGCCATCAGAATATCAATATGTTTAGGCCACTGGATGAACATGAAGAAAAGGCTGATGAACATTAGACAGGGTTTCCGGGGCAACCCAATTTATGGGAGAAATGGTAGAAAAGGCTAGAGAAAAAGGCAAATAATGAACTGGATACAAATCAGTAAGAAACAGACAGTTGAAGTATTCAATTGAAACAATGAAAATATTATGAACATTCCCATAGAAAGCAAACTTGAAGAGATATGAGGTAAATTCTGAAATGCTCAAATGAGGTACTAGAAAAAATGCAAAATTTGAAAATGAGATAACACATTGGATGTAGCAGCACACACCTACAATCCCAGCAGCTGGGAAGGCTGAGGCAGGAGGATTGCAAATTTGATACTAGCTTCAGCAACTCAGTGAGACCCTGTCTTAAAATAAAAGGATTGGGGATGTAGCTTAGTGTTAAAGTGCCACTGGGTTTGATCTCAAGTACAGCAAAAAAAAAGGGGGGGTGGGTTGTGAAAAATGCAGCTTAGTGGTAGAATGCTTGCCTAACAAGATTGAGGCCCTGGGTTCAATCCTAGCTCCACAAAGACAGAAAGAGACATACGGGCCACTTTATACCCACTGTTGGACAAAAAAGCGAGACACTATTAGTACTATTAGACACTATGGTTACTATTACTTGTTAGCAGATACACTGGGATAACAAGAGCCCTTATACTCTGTTGTGGGGAGTATAATTAGTGCAGACAATCGATGAATAATATGTGGTACTTAGTCAAATTCAGGATGAGGGACTGGTAGTTTAGTTCAGTAGTATAGCACACGCGCAATGTGCACAAGGCCCTGGGTTCCATCCCCAGCATCAAAAGAAAAAAAAGACAAGGAAAGAAAGAAAGAAAAAGAAAAAAATTCAGGCTGAGCATACACAATATTTAGGCAAACTCTCTTTTTCACACATCCTTGAGAAATTTTCATACTCCATAAAGGAAAATTTGTATGTACATTTATCGTGGAATTTGCATTAACTGGAAGTTCAGTGCCCACTGGATGAATGGTTAAGTAAGGTGTGGTCTTGGTGTACTGTAGAATACTATGCAGCAATCTGTAGAACAAAGCCAGATGAACACACTACAGTTACGAACATCCCTTAGGGAGGAGTGGGAAAAAAAGAATAGAATTAAGATATATAGAATAATATAACTTGTATATACTATAAAAAAAGAATAGAATTAAGATATATAGAATAATATAACTTGTATATACTATAAATATATACTCATAAACCAATACTTCAGGGTTTATGAGAATATCACATAAATTCGTGGATCATATCATTAATTGCCATCATAGAATAAGGGATGGATATGGGGAATGGAAACAAAATAAAATAGAAATTTTAAAGCATCTGATGTACAAGGGAAGAATCTAAACTCGGGGATAGGAATGGAGTAGGAAGAGTGAAAAGGTCCTAGCTAGGTGCAGTGGCACATGCCTATAATCCCAGCAACTCAAGAAGCTGAGGCAAGAGAAGTTCAAGGCCAGCCTCAGCAACTTAGTGAGGCCCTAAGCAATTTAGTGAGATCCTGTCTCAAAAAAAAATTATATATATATATATATATATATATATATATGACTGGAGATGTAGCTCAGAGGTAAAGCACCACTGGGTTCAATTCTTAGCAACAAAAAGAAAATGTTGCTTAGGGTCTCACTAAATTGCTGAGGCTGGCCTTAAACTTGCAATCTTTCTCCCTCAGCCTCCCGAGTTGCTGGGATTAGAGGCATGTGCCACCATACCCAGCCCCAAAATTTAGAACTTTCAAGATCAAATTATCTTCACAAGCTTTCTCAGACATTGGCCTCTTCTAAGAAAAGTGGGATTTACTTTTATATACAAAATACATTATGCCCTCATCTGCTGGGTCACACACCTGAATAACTTTGACATTTCCCCCTCCAGTGTCCATGGCCTCTCTCCTTGCTCCAACTTGTAGATGGCTTCTAATTTGGGAACTTGATATCCTATTAACAGAATATAATACAGGGTTGGGTCTAGCCAATCAGGTTTCAGGGACCTTTCAATGAAGCTTCCCATTTGCTCTTCAGGAAAGTCCCCAGGTTTGATGGAACAAAGAAATAAATAGAGGTGAAAGGGACTGAAGAATCACAGTCAAATCAAGGGTGACACCATCACACACTTGGGATGCCTCAGAGCACTCAGTGACTGAGAATAGAAATGTCATACTGAGGCCCTCAGCCAACTCATGAGCACCAGTGCTTACCCACTGAGATCAGATGATGGTAGTTCTCCAGTGTCACATCCCAGTACAGGCGTCTCTGAACAGGGTCCAAATGCTGCCACTCCTCCCTGCTGAAGTTCACAGTCACATCCTCAAATGATATGGATACCTGTAACAACACAACCCTGTTCAAGGTGACATGGTCAGCACAGGGGGATGGCAGAAGATAGAGAAGAAATTGTTTTTTAATGCTCTTTTACCATAATGTAACATATAGGGTTTTTGCTAGATTTACCTTTTATGATATGAGAAGTAAAAACTTAACTAAAAGTATTTTGACATTCCTTGTGTACTACATTTATTCATTTATCCATTATGTCATTCTACTTTAAAAATGAGGATTTAAATGGGCTTTCTTTCTTTCTTTTTTTTGAATAGCAAGGATTAAACTCAGGGGCCTTCAACCACTGAGCTGCATGCCCAGTCCTATTTTGTATTTTATTTAGAGACAGGGTCTTACTGAGTTGCTTAGTGCCTTACTTTTGCTGAGGCTAGCTTTGAACTCATGATCCTTCTGCCTCAGCCTCCCAAGTGGCTGGGATTAAATGTATATGCCACCATGCCTGGATAAATGGGCCTTCTTTAAATTCTCTAGTTAGGAACTAGACACATATATTTAATAATCAGTTATGTGCTGGATGTGTTAGGCAATGGCAATATAGAGTTGAATAAAATATAAAATGACTTAAAGACTTGACTAACCAACAAAGGAAGACAGAAGGGGGGTAATGGATGATTTAGACTAGGTTACACAGAGATGTTACGGTTAGAGTTATCTAGAAAGGATATGAACAAAAGTATGAACAAAAGTATGGAATAAGGAAACAATTAAAATACATGATTTATTCAGGAAATTTCAAATAATTTTATAAAAGGGGAGGAATTTATGTAGTAGATTGAGAAGGTAGTTGTGAGGAAAACTGTAGAGATATATTAGGGTTAGAACAAGGAACAATCCTTTTTTTTTCTTCATGGAGAATGGTCTGCCATTTAAACACAGGAAAAGACAGAATCATAATAGTGTGCTTTAAAACAGTAGTCAAGGTACATCATAGAAATGTTTGAAACGGTTGAGACTTGATGATCAGTGTGGAGATGCACTCTAGAGTTCATGTGAGAGAAAAAAAAAGCTGGATTTAATGGAATGGAGAAGTTGAGGATGTAGAAGACAGTTTTAAAAAAATATTTATTTTTAGTTGTAGTTGGACACAATACCTTTGTTTTATTTATTTATTTTTATGTGGTGTTGAGGATCAAATCCAGGGCCTCCCATGCACTAGGCAAGTGCTCTACTACTGAGCCACAACCCAAACCTCTAGAAGACAGTTTTTTTTAGTTGCTGATGGACCTTTAATTAATTGATTAATTAATTTATATGTGGTACAACTCCAGCCCCTTAGAAGATAGTTCTGATGCAATGTTTTAAGGAGGCTGAATTGTGGGAGCAGGATGCAGTGGCACACATCTATAATCCCTGTGACGTGGGAGGCTGAGGCACAAGGATCACAATTAGAGGCCAGCCTCAGCAACTTAGTGAGACCCTGTCTCAAAATAAAAAAAATATAGTTCAGTGGTAAAGTTCCCCGGGTTCAATCCCAGTACCAAAAAAAAAAAAAAAAAAAAAAAAAAAAGAAGGAGGAGGCTGAATTGCAGGGGGGGGGAGAAAAATAATGAATCTAAGGCAATATTCAGTGATTGGTTTTACATAAACATGTAGATCATAAACTGAGAGGTTAACAGAATAGGAGGGGGTGGGGAAGAGAATGAAACATTATGTCACATTTTGAAATTAAGGTGATAAAACTTATATGGGATTGTATGACATGGACTAGGATAGAAGTTCTGATTTGGAAGTTCTCACTACAGAGTAGGGAATCAGTTGAGACTGCTCAGGAGGAGCATACAGACAGATAAGACACGAAAGCCTACCATACAGACCATCTTTAAACATAGTGCAACTAAGTCAAAAAACATTAATGGGCTCGGGATATGCTCAGTTGGTAGAGTGTTTGCCTCGCATGCACAAGGCCCTGGGTTCAATCCCCAGCATCACACACACACACACACACACACACACACACACGCAAACATTAATAAATGGGATCTTTTCAAAATCCACAATTTTAAAGTTTTAAAAACATAGTTCAATTGGGCACAGAGGGGCATGTCTATAATCCCGTGACTCAAGAAGCTGAGGAAGGAAGATTGCAGATTGAGGCCAGCCTCAGCAACTTAGTGAGACCCTGTCTCAAAATTAAAAAAAAAAAAAAAAACATAAAAAGGCTGGAGATGTGGCTCAGTGATTAAGCACCCTGTGTTCAATACCCAGTACCAAAAACAAAACAAAATAAAACAAAACCCTAAAAAACATAGTTCAAAATAACTGATGATACAGTTGACCCTCTCTGTTAATGGCAAATTCCATTCCTGTGGATTCAACCACCTGTGGATTGAAAAAAAAATGCTTCTGTACTGAACATGTACAGATCTTTTGTCATTATTCCTTAAACAATGCAGCATAACTATTTATAAAGAATTTATACTGAATCAGGTATTATAAGTCATTTACATATGATTTAAAGAACACCAGAGGATGTGCAAAGGTTTACTCAAGCATCCAAGGATTTTGGTATCAGTAGTGGATTCTAGAGTCAGTCCCCTGTGGATACTGAGAGACAACTATAGTATAGTCTAAGAAAATACACTAGATATACCTAGAGCCAACACTAATGAAATTAGTACTGTAAGAATTTATAGAATGGGCTGGGGATGTGGCTCAAGCGGTAGCGCGCTCGCCTGGCATGCGTGCGGCCTGGGTTCGATCCTCAGCACCACATACCAACAAAGATGTTGTGTCCGCCGAGAACTAAAAAATAAATATTAAAAATTCTCTCTCTCTCTCCAAAAAAAAAAGAATTTATAGGATATATCATAACTCAATTTCATGGAGTTTGACAAGCCATTTCTAAAATTTCTGTGGAAATGCAAATAGCCAAGACTAGCCATGAGACTCCTGATTAGTAAAAACAAGGTGGGAGGACAAGGTTTATAAGACTTTAATTTACAAAGCAATGGAAATTTATGATATTGTGGTACTGGTGCTCAGATAATCCACTGGAACAGAACAGAGAGGACAGAAACACACCCACATATATGATCATGTGATTTAAGCCAAAGCTGTTCAATCAGATAGTGAGAACATTTTCAATAAAATGATGCCATAAAAAAACTTTGTGTACAATCAGTGACTTGAAAAATTGTGCTCTATATGTGTAATATGAAATGAATTGCATTCTGCCATCGTGTATAACAAATTAGAATAAACAAATAATTTAATTAAAAAATAAATAAATGGTGCCATGACAGGTACATACAGGAAGAGATTAAATTTTTTTAATATTTTTTTTTTTTTTTTTTTTAAAGAGAGAGTGAGAGAGAGAGGGGGTGAGAGAGAGAGAATTTTAACATTTATTTTTTTTTTCTTAGTTCTCGGCGGACACAAACAACATCTTTGTTGGTATGTGGTGCTGCTGAGGATCGAACCCGGGCCGCACGCATGCTAGGTGAGCGCGCTACCGCTTGAGCCACATCCCCAGCCCCCAAATTTTTTTAATATTTATTTTTTAGTTTTAGGTAGACACAATATCTTTATTTTACACTTATGTGGTGCTGAGGCTTGAACCCAATGCCTCTGAGGATTGAACCTAGTGCCTCATGCATGTTAGGCAAGCACGCTACCACTGCTCCACAACCCCAGCTCAGGAAGAAGTACAATTTGATCCCTACTCCACATCATATGCAAAAAAAAAAAAAATCAACTCCAGATAAATTATATACCTAAAAGTGAAAGGCAAAAACTTTTAGAAGACTATCTTCATGATTGTACATCAGAAATATAATTCCCAATGGGAAGAAGACAACATTAACCATAAAAAAAGACTGATGGGGCTGGTATGTAACTCAGTGTCTAGAGGGTTGCTTAGCATGTGCAAGGCTCTGGGTTCAATTCCTAGTACCAAAATAAAAAGAAAGAATCCTGGCACAGTGGTACACACCCATAATCTCAGCTACTCAGGAGGTTGAGGCAAGAGATCAGCTGGAACAACTTTGGCAAGACACTGTCTTAAAATAAAATAAAATAATAGGGCTCAGGATATAGCTTAGTGGTAGAGCATCACTGGGTTCAACCCCTAGTACCATACACAAAACATGACTGATGAGAGTATGTTTACAATGAAGTTTAGCACTTCTAGTCATTTAAAAGACAGTATTTAAAAAGGAAGAAAGGCCAGATGCGGTGGTGCATGCCTATAATTCTAGCAACTTGGGAGGTGGAGGCAGGAGGATCCACAAGTTCCAGGTCAGCCTCCATAATTTAGCAAGACCCTGTCTCACAATATAAACAAAAAGGGTCGAGAATATAGCACAGTGATAGAGAATTCCTGGGTTAAATCCCCAGTACCAAAAAATTAAAATTAAAAAAGAGGAAAAAAAGAAAGCTATCACATAAAAGATAATCTGTAGCACATATTACTAATAAAAGGTGTACAGAATTTCAAACCAGTGAGAATAAGAGTTCACCTAGTAGAAAAATGGACAAGGGATTTAACGGGCATTTTACAAAAGAGGAAATCCAAGGCTTCAATACACATAGGAAAAAGGTTTAACATTTTAGACATTTAGGAATACAAATTAAAACCATAATGAGATACCACTACATAACCCCTAGAATGTCTTAAATGAAAAAAAAACTGACAGTACCAAGTATTGAAGAGAACATGATGCAAAAAGAGCTCTGTTATTGCTGATGGTGGTATGAACTGCTACAACCACTTTGGAATGTACTTAAGATCTATCAGTTAATGCTGAAGACGTATACACAATACATTGCACTGTCCTAATCTTGTACTGACTAGGTGACCTAACTGAATTTCTACCCTACCTTAACTTTGTTTATCTTTGAGGAAAGGATGCCTGAAGGCCAGAAGTTCCTCTTCAGGTGGGCTGGCTGCAACTGGTGTACCTATGATGGCTGCCAGAGTGGCCTCCAAACAATCACTAACTTCATTATAATAAAACACATGAATATTCCTCTCCTGCCCCCCTTTT